TTATTCTTTTCAATTATTCTTTCTTGCTTCTATTTCTATTCTTTTCATCTTTCGGAGGTATTTATAATAATTTATTTGTTCATTTGTTTTTATTTTAATATGATATATATCATATTTCTTAATATGTAATATTCTTTTTAATTTCATATATTGTTTATTATTGAGTAAATCTCTCAATCTACATATTTTTGATTGTAATATTCTTTCTATACTTCTCTTTCCACTTCTTTCTTGTTTATTTTTATTAATGATGTTAATAGTGGAAGATACTGATTTAATATAGTGGTAATATTCATCTAATGTATTGATTATTATTTCATTTTTGTTAATAATATTAATTATTTGATGTATTTTCTTCTTATTGTAATAATAGTTAATAAATTGTACATCTTCTTGTTCTTTCTTTTCTTCTTCTTTAAATATTTTCATTACCTCCTCTTCTTCTATTTCTTCTTTCTTGTTCATTCTAGTTATTATTTCTTTTAATTCATTATCTTTCCATTGATGTTTTATTATTTCTTCCTCCATTATTCTATTGATTTCTCTTTTAATTTCATTCTTTATTTTAAATGTCTTCTTTAATATTTCTTTATATTCATTAATATCATTTACTTTAATTCCAAATTTATGTATTAATCTTTCTATTATTTCTTCTTTAAGTTGACATCTTAATTTTCTTTCAAATAATTTTAAAGCAAAACATTTATAAAGTGTTAAAATTTCTTCTTTTCTATCTGTTTGCTTCCCCCGTTTTTTTGATTATCTAATTCAAATGTGGTGATCTTCTTATGCTGAATATCCATTTCTTCAATGGATTTCTGCGTTAACTTTCTTTTTTTGGAAGATCATCTTCACTTGATGATATTTCATCAGCTACTACCACATTGGGGGAGAGGTCATTCACAATTTGTGTTTCTGATGAGTCTGTTATATTGTAATTTACATCATCTTTCTTCTTTTCTTTCTGTATGTTTTTATTTTCTAATTTAGATAATTTATCATTCAGGAAGAGTAATTGTTGTGTTAAATTATTTACTTCAAAGATTTTTTAAATTTCATTTAGATGATAAAGACAGTTTATAAAAAACGAATTGAGTCTTTTTTTATTTTCTTCATTAGATATTATAGATTTTTGATAATTTAGTTATTCTTAGTTTGATTGAAAGTTAGATGAAGGTATTGGGTAATTTATGTGGTGTTATTATGAGATGAATGAGTAGTAAAGAGTATAAACAAATAGGGTGAAATTATCATTTAAGATAGCTTCATTTTAGATTGAACAAAAGCAAAACGAGAAGTAAGAAAAAAATTATTTCCATAATTGTTGTAATGAGATAGATGCGTTATTATCTTTCTTCATTACTTTAGCAGCAGCTAATTCAAAATCTTCTTGTGTTACATGAGATCTTCTTTCCCGAAGTGCAAACATACCTGCTTCGGTACAACATGCTTTAATCTCCGCTCCAGATGCTCCATCCAATCGTTCAGCAATTTTCTTAAGATCGATTCCACGAACTAAATTCATCTTCTTAGAATGAATCTTAAGAATGTCTAAACGTGCTTCTTCTTTTGGATTAGGAAATTCGATTTTTCGGTCAATTCGTCCTGGTCTTAATAATGCTGGGTCTAAAATGTCTATTCGATTTGTTGCCATTAACACTTTGATATTTTTTGTTGGTTCAAATCCATCTAATTGATTAACTAATTCTAACATAGTTCGTTGAACCTCACTATCTCCTCCTGACTCTCCTTCCATTCGACTAGATCCAATAGAATCTATCTCATCCATGAAAATAATAGATGGTGCATGTTCTCTTGCCA